GGCCCAAGGACCCTGCTTTCTAGGACCTGCCTCAAGCGACAGGGAAGCCTGCCAGAGGGGGACAGGGTCAGGGGAGTGAATGTCTGAGGTCTTTCAGCGCACAATCCGCTAGAAAGAGAACATGGGTGGAACAAGATCGAGGGGGTGCAAGAGGGAGGCTGTCCTTGAACAAAGGTAAGAGCCCGTGCTCAGAATAGGGGTGACTCTGACGGCCACAAGGGCAACTCTCAAGCATGCTGGGTGGGCGCCCACGGTGCCAGGGAAGCCCTCCCCACCCACCCCCCACCCCCCCGAGGGTCTGCACTCCCTCAACCACAGCCCTACTTCAGGGCTTTGGAGACTGCCTGAATCTGGGATGCCTTTTACCTAGGAGGGTAAAGTTCACACCAGCTTCTCAATGCTCCAAGGGATGCTAATCTCCCTCCCTACGCCCCCCCCCCCACTCCCCACCTTCCTCCCAATGGGGAGCACACAGTAAGCATACAGCACGGGAGCCTGTTGGCACACGGAGCCCTGAGAGCGGGACTCCCCCAGTCCCGCCCCCGCGCTGTCACTGCGCCGTGGTAGCCGGGTAACAGGGCGGGAAGGTGGGCGATGGTGGCAGCTGCATGAGGCGTGGGTGACACTAGGCAGCAAGCATGTCCTGCTGCGGGCAGCCTCCTCCCTTCCCGGGAGTCTAAGGCTGCGGGTATTATTTTGTGTCCCAGCCACTGTGGACTTGCCAAGACCCCCCCACCAAGTCTCTGAATTCACTGGCCCTTTGTCTGTTTCCTCAAAAGGTTGGTGACCTTGAGGCCACATTGGTGAGTGGGGCAGAGCCCACCTGCTGGGGGCCAGCAGTGGGGAAAAACCACACTGGCTCTGAGCTGGGTTTAAAAAAGGGCTTATTTAATTAAATACAAGGATAAGGGCAGGCAGGGCAAGGGAGAGGGGTGCCACCAGAGAAAGCACAAGTCCCTAGGGATGTGACCCCCTACCCTCCATCCCCCCGTGAAAGGCCACAGCTACCACTGGCCCATTGGAGGAGGGGGGCACGGGTCTCTCCAGGCCCCTGACCAGGGGCCAGACGTTAGAGTTCTCAGCTTCCTGGGCCCCGAAGCCCACTGTGGACAGGCACGGCCAGGCCTGGGACATCTAGGGGACATCCACACAGACACAAAGGTGAATGGGACACACGCCCCTCTGCCCTCAAGGACAAGGGCATTCCCCTCTGGGAGAGAAGGACTGAGGGCAGATGGGCCAACTCTGCAAGGACCTGCCCCTGGGCTGAACCTGCAGACAGACCCTCCCCAGCCCGGCTCCAACAGGACCTGAGGCACCCAGCCTGGATCCTGCCAGGCTGAGGGTCCAGGCCCACAACAGTGCCATCTAGCCCCCCAGCCCCCAGTCAGGCCACAAGGAAGGCTCTGGAACAAATGCAGATGCCACAAACCTCCTGCAGCCAATGGGGGGGCGGGCAGACAAGCCCTTTTAGGGTTTGGGGGCAGGGAGCCTGGGTCCCTTCCCACCCTAGAGCAGGGGGGCTGGATCTTCAGTCCCTTGGTCCAAAACGAAATCTAACCGGCTCCACCAGAGGACATGGCACCCACCCCTCTCCACCCTAAGCTTAGGTCACAACGACACTCCCCTCACCTCCTTCTCCTGAGGACGATAGACCACCCACAGTGGCCCTGATCAAAAAAGAGATTGGTGCCTGAAAAAATATTCTACCCGGTCCAAAAACACACACACAAACCCAGCTCTTCCTAGGGGTTCTGGGCCAGTCCTCCTGCCTCCTATCCTTGTGGGCGGCAACTCAATCACTGGTCCAGGCCTGGCAGCCCGGGGGGACATGCAGCAAGGGGCAGGATGGAGCCAGGGCTCCCACCTCCACCTGCAGGGTGGGGAGGGGTGCATTTAGCCCAGTGGCTGTCTGGTCCCTAAAGGGAGGGAATGATTGTCACGTGATGCTGTGGAAGGCCAACGTTGGGAGCAGGGAGTAGCTGCGGCACCAGCTTCTCACTTACACTAACACACCACACCCACCCAGGGGGGCAGGCAGCACCCCAGCCAGCAGAGACAAGAAAATAAATAAGCCAGCATTCACTCCATCCCCATATCCACATCCCCCCAAAGTGAGGCAAATGCTCTTTGGAAGAACCCTGCTCCTCTCCCACCCTCCCCCATCTCAGAAGCAAAACCCGGACCCTATGGTTACCCTCCCCCTCCCCCTGCCCACCTGCCTCCCGTGGGCAGTGGGGCAGAACCTGTTAACACCTGAGATCGAATACCCGAGTGGGGGACGGCTGGGCCGCACCCCATTTCCCTGAACATCTCCAATGGCTTTCCACGGGGTGAGGAGCCCCAGGCGGGTGGGCCCTCGGTCACCCCTGGATCCTCTATGGCTCTTTGCTCACTTCTTCCCAATCTAGAGAGGGGCCTGGGGCTGATTCCAAGCACTGGGCAGGGGGTACCTTTCCTGCCCCCCTCCACACACATATCCCCCCCCAAAGCAGGGAAGTGGCAAAGGGGAGAGAGGAGCACCTGCCAGCCACCCACCTGGGGTCCCAGTGTAGCAGATGGGAAGAATTATAGGTCGTGGCTATTTACAAACACAGGCCCCAGCCGCCCACGGGGGGGGCATATCCAAAAGGTCCA